TCAGAAGACATACAAATGAATGAAATGAATATGTGTGTGATGTGTGTGTGTGATGTGTGTGTGTGTGTGTGTGTGTGTGTGTGTGTGTGTGTGTGTGTGTGTGTGTGTGTGTGTGTGTGTGTGTGTGTGTGTGTGTGTAACTTTGACTTTGACTTCACTTGAGGTTACCGAGTTCGGATCCTCGAGCAAAAGACATGAGAACAATAGGGGTCGTGGAATGAATAATCAGACCCAACAGAGCTACAGGGAAAAGTATTCCAAGCTACTATCAGAAAATATCTGATTTCTGTCGTCAATAATGACACAACGTAAAAAAGGTAATAAAGAAAAAAAATCATTCACACAGACGCAGACACACACTCAAACATATACTCGTACATACACACATATGTATATAAGTATCTATGATATATGTATATATATACATAAATATATATATATAGTGTACAGAATACAAAGTAAATGTTTTAGAAAAGAGGAAATGGTATCCCACACCTGTATATCTACAGAAAAATTAATTACTCCAGGTGTGCCGAATAGCGCAAAGTATAGAATCGGATCACCTGTGAACGCTATCATATCGATATACAGTGAGTCAATGCTATACCTCTCGCTGCGTCGGAAATTAATGTTCTCTAACTCCGAATACATGAATCTCTCTCTCTCTCTCTCTCTCTCTCTCTCTCTCTCTCTCTATATATATATATATATATATATATATATATATATATATATATATATAATGTGTATATATAATGTATATACAATGTATGTATACATGTATATATACACATATGTATATGTGTATATATGTTTATATATATATATACATATATATACGACCACCATCAGTCGATGTCGACTTTGGCATTATATTAAAAAATTGCCAAGAGCGATACAATGTGGCACCATATATTTACTTATATAGACACATATATATATTCATATATATGTATGTATGCGTATATATATATATGTGTGTATATGTGTTTATCTGTGATTATATACATGTATATATATCTGAATATATATATATATATATATATATATATATATATATATATATATATATATGTATTTTTGTATATATAACATATATAAATGTATATGTATAAATTATACATATAAATGTATATATGTGTATATATGATATATAAATGTATATATATATATATATATATACATATATATATATCCCTCAGTCTCTCAGTCTCTCTCTCTCACTCTTATCTACTGTAAGTAAAAATGTAAGCTCTGGATGCCATGAAAGACCAAAGTCCCTAAGCCAACCATACCTTAATCGACCTTACCTGGGTGGGTTGAGGTTGCATGACTCTCCCCCCATCGTTACATACTGAGTTTCTTGCTGCACGTACGGATATTCCTCGGTCTTGTTGGTGAACGTGCCGTAGTCCGTGTCAGAAGCCAAGAAACAGTCGTTGTGGTGACCTATCCTAGCGACCTGGTACGTAACAGCAGGTTATCAATTGGCTTATGGCTTTTCTTGGTAAACGAGTGCTATTATTTGAACAACTTGTTGACTTATCATCAGTTTCGGAAATCTTAAAATTCATACTTTATTTTTTCTACAGCTTCGAAAAAATCATTCGAATCAGGATCATACAGCGTGTGTATGATCAAAGAGAATCCGAATGCACCTTTGAATCCTCTAAGAGAGTTGAGAAATCGGAGAGAAGGGCTATTACCTGCTCTTCGCCAAAGGCTTCATCCTCTGTGAGAGCTGATGTTCGCTCCAAGATCCGTCGCTTATACTTGGGCGTTCGTAACTGGATTTCTCTGCAGGGTTGGTAAAAACAGTGGGTAAATCGAGGGAACTAAATAATGTACATATGTGCTGCTAGAAGCCAGTTGGCATTGGACAGAGAGCAGGGTCCAATATAGCTTTTAACTGTATGTGATCTGCTCTAATACACAAGCTGAACATGTTCATTTGATTCTTCTTTATAATACTATCCTGATTAACAATGCTTAATTCTCACAACTGATACCTTGTTATACAAAAAGATGTATAACTTTACAATGTATATGAGGATATGTAACATTTCTTTATACAAGAATGTAATATTCGAAGCCCACCGTGAGACTGGCAACGCCTGAAGGAGTTCGCTGACAACCTGACGACGGCGTGCCCAGTCCTCCTCCGAGATGACGCCCTCGTTGCCGTAATGTGCCGTGTAATACCACTCTCCCCACACGCCGATGAAGCCAGCGTGCATAACGGCGATCAAAGCTGCGTTATCCTTTCGTGGCGAAGAGAACGGTTAGTACTCTGTTACAGGTTGGATCGATGTGTGTTGAGTAACTCTTGTGATGTGCTGTGCTGTTGGGGCAGGAGGTTCCTTCTCAAAAGGCAGATTTGGCCCTGGGATCACAGCACTACCCACATTCATGCTAGCTGTTGGTGACTCAACTGACTGCAACTGCTCGGAATATTAAGCCCAGTGCCACGGGCAGATGCCTGTCTTAATCACTAGCTAGTCAGGTCACCTGGCACACATCCATGGCCTCCAGTATTTTACAAGAGATTAAGTTTAACCGTGTTCTCAGGCAGCTGCCAATGAACTACTTCTAGCATTATACGCCTAAAAGTGTTATAGTGTTATATGGCCTGGCAAGTTGTTGACACGAACAGATATACCCCTAGCAACCTCCGAGCACACTTCACCTCACTCAGTCTGGCGAAGTGAAATACCCTGGGTGGTCACTGGATGGATGCAGAGATTTGAAACGGACTCGGGGGGGTAGTCACAGCCAATCCATGGCTGGCGCCACACAACTGTGGACTCCGGTAAGCTTTAGATTCTGGAGAATCTTCCGATTGTTGACAAGGATATTGGACGTGGGTTGGACCTCTGGTATCAAAAGTCAAAAACCCTGGGACCTCGCAGTTGCGAAGGAGACTGGCCCCATTAATGATATCAGCGCCTGAGCCGTGGGGACCGATATACAGGCTTTGATCACTCTTTCATGCCTGGGTACCACACCAAAGTTAACCAGAGTAATGTAGGTATCTTATTGACGACAGCTATCTGTCACAAAAACATTTTCCACATAAAACATTTTTTTTCACATTACAATTACATACACACATACAAATATGTATTTAAATATACATATACATATATTATATGCGTGTTTGTGTGATTATATATATATATGTGTGTGTGTGTGTGTGTGTGTGCATATATATTTATATATATGTGAGGAGATGTGAAATATACATAAATGTATATACATAACAATGGAATAAAGAATATATATATATATTTACATATATATGTGTGTGTATATATATATATATAGTGTGTGTGTGTGTGTGTGTGTGTGTGTGTGTGTGTGTGTGTGTGTGTGTGTGTGTGTGTGTGTGAGAGAGAGGGAGAGTTTGAGTGTGAGGTTTACGTTCGCTAGATTCTTACCTTTAGAATCGGTGCAAGCTGCGTGATGTGTTTTAGCAGCTGTTCAGGTGGAGCGTCATTGTTGTTGCTGCTGTCAATGCTGTATGAGAACCTTAGTATAACCTGCAAAAATGATTACATCTTATTAAAACAGGAGAGAGAGAGAGAGAGAGAGAGAGAGAGAGAGGGAGAGAAATATGATATCAGTGCAATTAACATGTTACGTCAATGTTTCTCAATCTATTTACCTCCACGGAAGGCGTGTCTACGAATATTTTACTGGGACTCCTAAAGCTTCGGCTATATAGGTATTAACAAGGGACATATTATCAGGTAGCTCCTCTTCCACTGAACGTAAAAATGAAATTGTCTTTTTCCCAAGAGTATTCTGACGGCTGTTAATATTAGGGAACTTTTCGGTATCACAAATAAAACATTTTTTTTTTGTTTTACTTCTGGTAATTATAACAATATGGATTAAATTATACAAATAATTATGTATCTAGTTGTATTTGGCATCTCACAGCGCACTCTCATTGGCTAAACGAAATGATGTCATTAGTTCCAACCCCTTTATTTGACTCAGTCAATCTGATAGTTTATGGTGTTATTTTCTCAGTGCATATTCTTTGAAAATTATTTAGTAATAACAATCATAGAAAACCAGTAAACCAAGAAAAAAAATCAAAAGAGTATTTAATACTTGCAATGAATAAAGCTAAAGGGGCAGGGCCTTGCTCGGAGGTTGCCAATTTTCACCAAGACGGAGTGGGATTACTTGATTCAAACTTTGTTGGGTATTAATCTCGACAGCATTTAGCCTAGTATGAGATGCCCCTGTGATGTTATACCACTGTACTCTATAACCATCTATGTAAAAAGAAGAACCAATATAACTAATGAATAACGCATTTGAATTTGAATCTGCACTATAATAAAACAATATCTATTCGAGCTTTTAAAATCATAAGGACCGTTTAATTTCATATTCCCGGTAACGAGCTTGGACCTAACCCGAGCGTCGAGGGACAAGGGCATAGGTTTAGTTAGTTGTGATCCGACAGATGCTGGCAAACTACTGTGGCTTAAAGACAAAAACAATAACATTCTACACTACAGCAATGCTATTTCGACATTTACTTATGAAAAAAAACGAAAGGCTTAATAATTTGGGTATACATGTCGGCCTCTTCGAATGAGAAGCCATGTTACCATTGTACTAGACCGGAGGATAAGTCTATTTAGCCCTTTCCGTTGAAACTGTGCGCTTCGTAGCGCTACGCAAGGCAGATTTCGAGGTTTCATTGCTATAAAATTTCAATGCATAACTTTGTATTAGGGACATAGTACTTTCGTCAGCATCCGGTGGACCACAACTAATAGCTTAACCTGTGTCTTAGTCATTCACCCCGCGTGTCCGAGCAGGTAAACCACATCCTATGGTAACAATATCCGGCGCGATGGTAACCGGCGAGTCAACGATGGTAACCTGCGAATGGTAAGAAGCGTGGTATCTTTTTGTATGTTCCCTCATGTCACTCTCTTTACAGGCGCTATTGTAAGATCTGGTGCTGCTGCGTTGGTGTGAATCCTTGGGGAAATCTTATAAAGGAGGCATCTTCAAACAGTGGAAGTTGACTGGAAGAAAGGGTGCAAGAGGCATTATGGATGCATTATAGGCAAACCGAACAGTTTCATTCCAATTTTCCGCAGACCATACAGCTCTCTGCCTCATCGTGGCATAAAGAAACATCACGTTAGATTAATCGAAACATTGCCATAATACGTAAAATATACAAAGTATTGCTTAAGCACACTAAATTTGTTTTTGCTGTATTGTTCGTTGAGTTAGACGAAAGCAGCCACCCCTGATCGTGTGAACAAGTGTACAGGACGATAAACCACACCTGTTCAGTATATTAAAGAATATGTTTAGGTACAGCCTTTGGAGCACTCGGCAGCTAATGTGAATTCCTGACGAAGCATCTGTTATATGCGTCCAACTAGTTTATGTTGATAAACAGAAAACAAAGGAATAATGAAGTTGCGCAACGAATTCATGTGGTCGTGTTGATACGTGAGCACCTGGTTGAGAAACACTGCCTTTCATCGACGTTACGCGTATACACATATTAGATTTCGCATTTTGTAATGAATACGATATACAGTGTCAGAAAAGGATCATTGATGAATTCACTGACTTTCAGACTGACTTTGGTAATCCTTGATATACACATTACAAATTAGAACACAGACTAATCAGTCAATAAGGATATATCATTCCCTGGTGATATAAATAAAAGCTCCCTGGTCATGAAGTATTTAATCACATAAAATCAAAACCGAACCGCTAAAATATCCGGGGGATATATTAGAATCCCCAGAAAGATACACGGAGCACGGTTAAAGTTGCCAGACAGGCATTACACGGCACCATGGCAATTCCTGAAGTAACTTTTCATTCTTTGTTTTATTTTTTCCTTCCGATCAACAGATACCACAGGCGTTCAGGTTACTCACTTACCTTCATCCTCTTCGCTTTGATGGTAGTGAAGTCATCTCTGATCTTCTGTAGGATCTCAGTGCTGATGTCAGTGTCCACGAAGGAGTCTAGAATGATGTTCCTGCACATCATTGACAGAGAGAAAGAGAGAGAGAGAGGTGATATTTTCTTTAAGTCATAGAAACGATCAGGGAGAATAAAGAAGGGTACGATCTGGGAGGAGAAGAAGAAAAACAGAAGAAACAAAGAGAGAGAGATATAGAGATATAGAAACAGGCAGAGAAAAATCAGAACAGTCCAGAAAGGGAAGAAGAGTCAAGCCAAACATAAACAACAAATCGGCAGCACCTAAGAGCAGTCCACTAACCACTCGCCACCCACGCCCCTTACCTGTAGATAAGAGAGTACCCACTCTGGGCCCATCCCTGGAGCTCCTCGTCGTCCACAGGGCTCCAAGATGAGGTCTTCGACTCGGTGTGCTTGTAGAAGCCACGTTCGGGGTTTCCGCCGGGGATTATGGGTGCCGGTTCTGGTCAGGGGATTTAACCAAGAACGGTAAAAAAAATATTAAACGTTCATTTGCGAGATTGTTCGCAGGGTTTTAGTATAAGGTGGTAAGTAAGTAAGTGGATGTAAGTGGTTAGAAAGTGTGGATGATTGCTCTTATAATGACAATTATCACATCAGATGATAGATATAAACAAAAAAAATCACGCACCTTGAACAAAGGATAATTGTCCTTGTAATAATATCAACTATGAGATGTTGTTGCATATAAATAGTTCGCCATTTATGTAAATGAGGACTTAAATCTACTCGACCAGGAGATTGATCGTACTTATGATTTATATAGCAATCGTGTTATTATTATCGTCAGCATTATCTATACCGTTATAATAAAATACCTAATTCATTTAGTTCCGATAGCTGGGGCCCAGAAGCGCAAAATAAAGAAATAACAAAAAATAAAAGAATGTAATGTAATGTGCAGTATTACCTATACGCTGTATATATTTGGAATATAAGAATTGTATTGCAGTTATATCAGTCATGATATATATATATATATATATATATATATATATATATATATATATATATATATATATACATATATATATATATATATATGCCAATTGTAACAAATGTTCCATACCTACCGTTATTATTTTGAATCATATGCCTCTGTATAAGCTTACAAATATATCACAATAAGGGAGAGAACACGACAAGTGAAAAGAGAATCAAGCCATTCTGGAAAATTCTTTTACACCCACCGACGTGTTATTTACACAACAGTAAAAGCTTGATTATTCTCTTCTGGAAGTTCCTCTACTCGGTGGATCGTGAATGAATATACAGTGTGTGTATTGGATCAACACGACTGCGCATGAGAGAGAGAGAGAGAGAGAGAGAGAGAGAGAGAGAGAGAGAGAGAGAGAGAGAGAGAGAGAGAGAGAGAGAGAGAGAGAGAGAGCGCCAGTGTGCGTGCGTGTGTGTGTGTGTATGTGTGTGTGTGTGTGTGTGTGTGTGTGTGTGTGTGTGTGTGTGTGTGTGTGTGTGTGTGTGTGTGTGTGTGTG